GGAATTTGTACTGAAAGTTTTTTGTTGTTGCTGTAACACTTTCCCTCAGCCAATGGATTTCCAATACAATAAAAATCCTTTCCTCCAACAAATACATCATTTTCAATACTTTCTTACAGAATCTGCTGGTAAGCTCTTTGCTGTTCATCGAGTCTATATGCCATTTGTTGACTCTACGGGCGCTTCAAATAGATTGACTGCTTGACCGAAGTCCAGGAGGAGAGTATTGGAGATGGAGAGGGGCGTGACCCTTGTCACGTGTGCTGCTCATCGAGAAACATATAACACTTCTTTTAAGTCAAAACAAGAACCCCTTCAGCGAACGCTTATTTTGATGATTTGGATACATCAAAACTGGAAAGATTGGTAGGAGGGACTTGTAGCACCATCAGTCGTAAAATCTTTTAACTATAACCGGGAACTGAGGGAGGAAACATTTATCCCTTGACAAATGAATTTGCTGCAAAAACCGTGTTTTTTGTTAACCTTGACCGTTTTCTTGTTAAGAATTTCTAAAACCTTCAGTCTATTTTAGAACACCTTATATATATATATATATATACCTTATATATATCTATATATATATATATATGTATGATAATATATCAAGCAAAGTAGTAATTACAATTTGAAAACCAATTTGGTCTAGAAAATATATATATATATATATATATATATATAACAATTTTATATTTACTATTTTGCAGCATATTGCGCAAGATGTTTATTATATTTTTATTATTTTATTTTATTGTTTATATTATTTTATATTATTATATATTATTTTATATTGTTTTATTATTGTTATTATATATATATATATATATATATATATATATATATATATATATATATATATATGATAATGATTTGAGTGGGTGACTGAATAAATTAGAAGATCGCCGCTTATATTTAGAAGATATTCGTTAAACTATGAGATGCTTATCTGTGTCATAATTACTTAGAGAGACACCAAGGCGTAGATTCACAGGAGAAATAAGGAAGATAACTTTGAAGAAAAAACAAATGAATTTATTTGTGAAAATTGTTTCATTTCACATTGTTCTTGGGCACCTTATGCTCTTCCACAGTTTTTGTATAACAGCAGTTTATATCTTAACAAGGAACAGAGCGGAGCGATGAGGAGCACGTTTCTAACAACAAGCGAAGCGTCGAAAAAGCAAAAGTTGCTGCGCAGTTAATATCTATGGTATTTAGAATCAAAATTTTCTTTAATCTGATTTGCTGAGATTTCACCGATTTGTAGGTATGATTGTATAAAATGATTAATTTTGAAACACGCACTTCTAGAAAATATTATTGCTATTTTTAGAAAGAGGGGCAAAGTACCCAAATTAAAAGAGGAATTAAGGGGCTATTGTTAATTTAAAGTATAATTTAGCTGCATAATTTTTATCTTACGTATTTATATTATAAATGTACATTATTCAATCGTCTCTATAATATATGTTTAGAAATTTAAATAAAAATCCTATAGTAAATGGAAATTTACTTTACATTTACTTCAATATATATATATGTGTGTGTGTGTGTGTGTGTGTTTTAAAAAGAATATCTTATGATATGAAAAATTGTTTAAGAGATTAGAAGGTGCTGTTAAGCGATAGTGAGAACGCTTTAATATTTGACATACTGTAATAAAAGCTAGAAAATCTTTCTTAAATTTGATTCTTAAAAGGGAAATGGAAAAATAATTAGAGTCAAAAAATATAATAGGATAAACCAATAAAACTGCTAATTATTCTTTGCTTAACGCTTTAAATAGAACTTTTCAAAAGGTAAGTATTTAAAACATTAAACCTGGACAATTAATGACTGCCGAATACAGGTTTCGTTTTTCCTCTGAGATGAGATCCATACCGCTACTTAATTGTCCAAAAATTATAAAAAATGCTACTTTTCATCTCAGAATGTCATAAACTAACTCGATGTACTGTACTTAAGCTCTGTATTATTGAAATGCAAACATTTAAAGGTAATACAAAAATATCGTAATTGAAATGCAAAGTTCATACAAAAAACAAACACTCATAAAAAGAAATAATCTAGAAAACTGTACACAAAATATTTGAAAGCGTTATTCAAATTTATTAATTTATGAAAAACGCGAGAATTAGTCCTAAAAATCAACAGTTTTATTCAATGGAGCTAAATCATAAGAAACTCTAAATTCTTAACTTGCTATTAGTAGTAGAAGAATTTTTCTAAAAAATAGAAATTTAGGTAATAATGTAAAAGGCAAACCTGTATGCAGTACAAAAAGTTTTTGGTTACTTTTCTTTCTTGGTTTGCGTGATTTGGCGAGCTTTTTGGCTAAAACGGTCATCCACTATTGGTGGTATTTTGGTGGTATACACCAATATATATATAGATTAATATATATATTAAAGAAGTTTAAAAAGTTAAATTAAAAAAAACCTTGATACAAATTTGCGCAATGTTCTGCAAGATTTGAAAATAAACTAACTAAATAAAAAAAAAATCGGAATGAAAAAGAATAAAATTTCGTATTAAAAATTTCCAAAATCCAATCTAACTTCTCCGGGTTACATTATAAACTCGTAAAACGCAAATTTAAGAAAATTACAGAATTGTAATCAAAAAATTTTCACTTCAAGAAGTAAAATCATATAAAAAACAGGAAATATGTACATAATAAAACCAAATGAAATAAAAGTTTAATCTCTTTTGTTTAACGCTTCAGACAGAACGTGCTAAGGGGAAAGTTTTTTGAAGTTTTGAATTAAGTTGATTAATGAGTGTCGAAAATATGTTTTGTTCCACTGAATTCTCTGAGACTCTAAACTACTTTATCTTTAGTAATCAATGTTTAATAATTAATAAAAATAAATCTTCTTTTGTCTTAGCCCATTAGCAATCAGGACCGCTATTGTTACCAACTGCTGTCTTCTTCATCCCGTTTTTCTTTATATATATATATATATAATATATATTTGATAAATATTGAAGAAGTGATCGCAGAGGGAATAAAAATTGCAATTACAATATTAGAAATAAATGTCCTAGTTATACGTAACTAGAACTCTTGAGCGTCTCTACATTAACTCAGTGAAGATCTTTTATTTGTACATGCCTCAAAATAACCTATACATACTACAGTCAAAAGTCTTTAATCCAGACGTTCATAATCCGGAATGATCTATAATCTGGATCTCAGAGCTACAAACTTTCTGCGCCTGCGTAAACGCATAATGCATCTACGCATGCGAGTTTAATGCATAACGGACGGTATCTGATGACGGTTAATGTATAACGGACGGTATACGTAAAGCTAAGCTAAAATTATCTATCTATTTTAGTTAATGTTGCAGATTGCGTTGTTCCTTAATCTTCTAATTGGATCCGGCTTATTATTTTTTGCAGACTGTTAGAGCAATTTTATAAAAGTAAGCTTGAACTTCCATTATATCAAAAAGAATTTCTGATTCTCGAGCTGCCAAAGGATCTACAAAGCGAAAGCATGTTTCGATGTCCATCAAGCAAAAAAGTGGAATTGCTGCAAAAAATGGATAAAGGCATATCCTTTGTTTCTCTAACCATTCCGAAATCTGTTTATCAATTACACGCAGCTCTGCAGGGGGGGGAGGTAACGTCGCGGCGTGCAATGAACTGGAAAATGATCTGTCATCACTATCATTATCTTCAGGGCAGATGTTTTTATTTTATTCGGCGTATAATTCCTTACTAAATGTAGTATTTCATATCGATGTACTCCGTCTTTGATATGATTTAAATCAAATTCCTCGTCATTATAAATATCACGAATACACATCAAATAGTTTTCTGGTTGCAATTTTCTAATTTCGACTATGCGTAATGCATTATTAAGGTTTTTTTTTTTTTTTTTTTTTTTTTTTTTTTTTTTTTTTTTTTTAATTTCGATTACCCTTTAGATCATAATTGCTCTTTATTTCATAAATTACGGTTTCATATTTTTAATTTTATAATTTCTGCATGCCATCTTACCAGATTTAAACTGATGATCTATGATCCGGAAAAACCGATAATCCGGAATCGCCGAAGTCCTGACGAGTCCGGATTAAAGACTTTTGACTCTATTAAATGAAACTTGCTTATATATATAGCAGCATTCATATTTCCTCTATTATATAAAAGTATGATAGCTGATTTTCAGTAGGAAATTTACAAAACAAGTAAAACAAACATCACAGTCAAAGTAAAACAAACTTTTCTGTAAAAGTAAAAAAAAAAAAAAAATTGCTCTTACGCTACTGAAAATAATTGTCCTGCATAACTTGAACACTAAAGCACCTACCCATCAACTCAAAGATTATTTGTAGTAAAGAACGCCTACTTTACAGTTCTAAATTGTTTTCACGTAACCTGCACGTTTATGTTCCAAATAGCTGGCAGAGACATTTATTTATTTTATTTGAGCCGGAAATACTGGAATATGAATTAATCCTTCGCCGGGATTCCAACTCCAAACCTCATGATTACCAGCCAGACATGCTTTGAATTATACCACAAAGGCCCGCATAAAAAAGGATAAAATTCCTTACAAGCTGACGATTTCTTTGTGAATTTTTTGCTATATCTTATGCTAACTAAAGTTAGGCAAACTGAACCTTGCCGTGCTTAAGATATTGCTGTCCTTAATCCTCCTCTACACTGTTTTGTTTCTTTAACAGCGACTGTATAATTTATTGATATTTACTAAAGGGTACATTTTTTGCTGTCAATCAAACAATTTTCAACGTATCCCAATGGCGCACATATATGCCATTTATTTCACTGACATTTTCTTTTGTAGCATTTAATTTGAATGGTTTTAAAAATGTACCCAGCTTTCAACTTTTGTTTCATATAAGCAACCGATTGAAAGCTAATATTTTTAATAACCCCTGGACGGCGAAACCGAAACTTTCTTTGGTATCGCCTCTTTTATTTAGTATACACATTCACATTTGTAAAGTATTTTGTTACTAATATTTCAGCTGTGGTGCGAGAAAGCAGAAGAATCCTATAGCGAAAAGCAATTTTCCATTAAGACAAGCTACCCGCATCAGTATAAGTAAGTGAAATACTAATGGCTTTACAAAACATAACGATCACTTCCTCCAGCTTTATTTTTCCCCAAGATAAATTTATCAAATTTAAAAAGAAAACATTAATAGAAGTCACTTACCCATCCAACCGGGATAGTGGTTAGCAACGCGGAATGCCGTACTGAAAGGTCCAGGTTCGAATCCCGGAGTAAGCATGGATGTTTGCAAATGCATATTGTCTGTGCGGCGAGTGTTCTTCATTAAAATTGGGGACAGAACCGAGCCAAGTCATACTGCCACTTGTATTGTGCTCAAGGCTTTTGCCAGCGACAACTGCAATGTTGCACTCTTTGACACGATGAATTTCGTGGACTTGTTCTGATGTTACTGTCGCAAAAATGAGATAATTCACAGAATGGGGATCACTTAAATCACATAGCAACAGGAACACCAGTAACCGGGCGATAGGCCCCAAAATATTGGTAATTCGACGCTGAAGACCAGTAGTTGGACGTGCAATCGACTCCATCTGATAGGGCTTCTGCAGGGATGATTTCTAGTTTTCCCCATGTGTAATATTTATACGAGCCATATCTATTTTGAAAGTCCTCGAAGGCGTCCCTTCTCTTTAGGCAAATAGCCCTTGCGTGCTTTGCCATAATCAGATTACTTCTTAGATACTTCTTTTTCGAAGATCATGCCAACGTTATGCAAGCGTCTTAATATAACTTCAAAGAAAAACAGCTTGGGGGGAGGATAAAATCAGTCGATCTCCGAGGGCATTGTACTGATGGATGTGTGGATATTACATTCCAATCTAAATCTGTTATAATACCTTATCGAGGAAATTTCTAACATTCTAAATGACAGTTTCTACACTTGAAACGAAACGTGATAACATGCATTCTAGTAATGCATGTTATCGCGTTTTGTTTCAAACTGTTATCTGGTGTCATCGCGTTCTAGTCTGTCATCTGGTGATAAAATTTTGTTTTAGAAATTCAAAATCAGATGCTGATATAATTATTCGTTTTTATAGACTTTTAAATTTCTTATTTGTAGATATCTATCTGGACAGCCTGAATTAATCAAAATGTGCTCTACTGGAAAATAATTTTTATGTACTTTAAATTTCTTACTGGCAGAGATTTATCTGGACAACTTGAACTTATTAGAAAATGTTCGGATAGAAAATTACTTCCTTGTGCTTAAGAGTAAAGCTAGAAGCATGAAATTTTGGTGATATGTTCGCACTATTGAAAGATTATATCTGTTGAAATTGCAAATACATAATATGCGGATAGATTTAATAACGTAAAGCTTGAATATGAATTTAGATAATCTTTAAATATGCGCGGATTATTTTGTAAGATTTATATTTTTCTTTCGGAAATAAATGACTTGCTTTTTTGATAATAAAGAATGCCCCAAAGGCGGCTGCGAAGTTAGTGTAGCCGTTTGAATCAGCTTAATTTATCTGTGAATGTTGATCTTCCTGTCTGTCTGGTTCTCTGGTTAATCTAGTCCATAGATGAACCTCTGCATAAGATGACCCTCACTTCAAAATCGGGCACCTTCAGTGCTAAGATTCAAGCTTCAATGAAAAACACGACTATTACACGAAAATTATCAAAATAAGATGGAATAATGTACAATCTAGTACGCTTTCCCGCTAATTCCAAATAATTGGGTTACGTGTCGGGTTAGAACCTACTGGAGAGCGTAATGAATGTCTGTAGAGCTTTCATATAGATGTTGTTTCTGCCTAGGATAATGCACCTATGCACCTATTCAGCGCAATGCTTTCTTAAACATGCACGCCAGTACCATCGTAATTGTCTCTTTCTTTCATATTCTTGAATTAAAATTGTGTCCCCTTCCCTCTCCAGATCAACTGCAGTTTAAAAATGTTCATGACAATGAAATGGCTGTCATCTTCAAAGAGGACGTCATTCCGTTTAATGATGTGTCTAACCTTAGTTCACGCTACGCTATTCTTAAACAGGGCTATCAGTAAAATGCAACACTCATTTGACAGTTAAGGAAGGCAGAGACACCATAATTCTACGAAGAAATTAGTTGGTATTAGCTCACGTCCCCGCATATCTAGCGTTGAGATACATCAAATAACATTATAAGGTGTTGTTTCCGTTGTGGCTCAGGACAGTGTAACATTCAGGTAGGTGACGGAAAAAGGAAATTCCTGGCGGTTACCAGAGGTTAGCAAAAGTTCTCTCTGCCCGCCATCAAGAGATTTTGCAATAAGTATAATTTTGACGTGGCCAGAAAAGGACTGAGAGTACATAATTGATACATTACAAATGATTTTTACTGTAAATAAGAACAGTACAACATTCAGGAAAAGCTCGGGAAAGTGGTTAGTGACTCTGACTGCCGTCCCGAAGAACCCGGGTTCGAATCTCGGAGAAGGAATGTATGTAATTTGTCCGTCCCTTAATAGAAGGCAACGGAGGCCCACCTATTAGCTGCCTCCATAATAAAGAGGCTAACACTCCCTTAGTAGTGGCCAATACCAAGTGAAAGCGGCTAAAGCCGGCCATTGGAGAAAAAAATTCCTTAAGGCAGGTAAATAGGTCACTTTTATGAAAACGTCTGGTCACAAAAAACCGTAACATTTGACGTCCTGTTTTCCCGCCAAAATACTGAGTAATTCCGCCCGCTGATTTAGGCTGTTCGTTATGTCTCTAGGAACGTGCATTATTGGCATTCGAAACCGCAAACGTCAACCTGCCAAATAACCTTGCTCCTTGATCTACACGGGTGTTATTAGTATCTTAGACTATATCTACATGAAAACACTGAAGCATGGTTAACTGTTTTATCCCCATATGCTTATTGTAACATTTCAGGCCCTTGATTAGGGCTCTTTCCAAGTTTTGCACAGCATTCTATCACACTGCTGCCGCACAGTGATTGAGATTTCTTCCTCACACGCCATGACAAAATGTAGCAAATACTTTAAATCTTATACCCAAGTACTGAAGATCGAGGTTGTCCAACAACGGATTCAAAAATAGGGACGTATAAATTTCACAAAACCGAATAGTGGTTTTCCTTATTAAATATCGGGGAAAAGAATGAGATGCAATCTCAAGAACTTTTCCGTCAGCTCTTTTAAAATAATGTGAGGAAATTCTTGAATAGAAATTAAGCTGGACCGAAAGATGAAAACGAAATCCTTTTACTCAATTTACAAGGTGAGCCCATAAGGTAACTGGACAAATTAAAAGACAAACGATAAATAAAAAGAGAAAAATAAATATATGTTTAGAAATAATGAAATGTCAACTCTTATTAAAGCCAGTTTAAAGTGGTTATTTGTACGAAGCAATTATATAAAAAAACATCAAGCTTCGGTATAAATTAGATAAATCTACTACCGAAACTTTAGAGATGATTCGAACAGTATATGTTCATGCATGTTATCAAGAACACAAGTAAGCGCGAAAGCTTTGAAAGATGTACCAAAGATTGGGTACATCTCTCAACATGAGTGTCGCCCTTTCAGCTTCATAGAATGAGGGAAATGTGTGGAAACGCCGTTCTTTGGTAAAAGCTGATAGAGTCGGCAGCTTTCAGACATGCTTGAGATAAGCAAAAAAGTCAGCAGCTTTCAGACGTGCTTGGGATAAGCAAAGAAAGCTGTGGGTTAATTTGAATTGAAAATCTGAAAACAGTAAATGTTGTGCTCTATTTGTGCCTCGAAGTTTAACAGAACAGCACAAAGGAGGTAGAAAATCTTGCTGTGAAAATTTGCTCACTACTGCAAGACATGGCAATAATTCTTACAAATTGTATCATAGCGGAAGATAAGACCTGGTATCCACAGTACGACACAGAAGCAAAAAGAATGAAGGGCACCTGTGAAAAAGACCCCCTTCTCCTTCCGCCACACACACACAGAAGAAAAGGAGCGCAGATGTAAAAATCAAAGACTAGGGGGATATATTGATCACATTTTTTGCTTAAAAAGAATTTATTCACCATGAATTTGTCTGTGAAAATCAGTATGTTTATAAAGAGCTGCTTTTCCTATTAAAAACAGAATAAGATGAGTTAGACAGGAAATTTTGTATTCGGGGGCAATGGTTCCTTTTGCACGATAATGTTGTACTAGGCCTGTACAACAATATCTTGCTAAGCAGTCAACTGCAGTTACAAATCCCCCACCATATTCTCGCGACTTATCTCCGGCCCTTTTTTTTTCTTTTTGAAAAGCTTAAGTGGGCAATGAAAGGACAGAGATTTGAAAAAGTCCCAAATATTAAATCAAATATTACGCGTATTTTGCGAAACGGTTGGTTCCAAAGCCTAGAAGCAGTGTTTCAATGACCCAAAGAAACGTTTGTATAGATTCCTCTGGCGATTATTTTGAAGAAAATTTTATTTGAAGGTTAGGAATCTTTTTCTTATTTATAAGAAATTGCGAGGTTGCTTTTCAGGCGCACCTTGTATTTGCTTTCTTATTTCTGTGATTAAATGTACATGAATTAAGGGTGCGCCCTACCACTTTACGCTGAATGCTTCCAATTCTCATCACAGGAATACGGCATAAATTCGTTTAGGTTTTATATATAATATGTGTATAATGATTTGGAAGTTGAAGTGATACGTTGATAGCATAAAGAGTCATGTCCAGTTTCAGTATTCCTTTTTGTTGTTGTCTGTAAATGTTTTTATTAAGATAGCACAAGTCTGAAGACAGATGAAGTGACAAGGCTAGCTAGCAAGAGAAGCACAAAACGAATGTGATGTTCTCAAGGTGAAAGCTGGGTTCAAAGTGATTTCAGTTTTGATTTAGATTTACTGTGTTACCTTTGATTTGCTTTGTTCTGATTGACTAATGTTTAAGTGTCTAAATTTATTAAAATTATTATCGCCTCAAGCCGTACGTAAGTTATCTGCGTCATGAACTTTATGCAAGAATCATATCGCAGATATTCGTTTTCAGATGACACAGTTTAGAGCGATTTATTATAAGCATTACTGTTTTAAGGACAGAAATGGGAATTTAACAAACTAAAATTGAGAATTAAGGGAACTATTACAAATTCAGTCAGCATTTTGATCTACATATTTTTATTTTACATATATTAAATATGTGGGGTGATTTAGAGGTTGATGAGGCATACGAAGTGACACAGCTTCGGGCATAAAAATGGTGAAGCAATCATTGTCGGCCTAATAATTCTTTATTTTTGTTGACAAACATTTTTAAAGAAAACATATATAAAATGGCATGGTAAACACGTAAATATACAATTTTAGATTTTTGAAAAATATTTTATGAAAGACTGAGCAGCAAGAGTTGGCAAATCGGCTGTAGAAAAGCAAGAGACAAAATGCGATGTATTCAAAATGAAAACCCATTCTTCTGAACCACGTTTTCTTACTTAGTTTTGGTAAAGCTTTATTTGGATTAGTTAATTTCAAGTTTAGGTTCCCAAATTTGAACACATTGTTGAGTGAAGTGTTATGCAAATGCCTACAGCATTAACGTTATGTAAGTATAACGAGAGAAAGATTAATTCTTAAATTGCGCAGCTTGAGGACATTTATTACAAGTAGTTACTATTTTAGGGCAGACAGGAGGAATAACCAAATTAAAATGGTCATTTTTAGTCCAAAAGGGCTTTGTCCCTGAAGGACTATTGTTTTAATTTTGCGTTGAATCACTATAAAATGTCCGTTTCACTTTTCAAATTGTTGCCACCAAATGATTTCTCGCATTGTGATAAAACAGCGGTACATAGAGCCATCGAATTTTGAATGACATAATTCTCCTACAAATATGGGGATGTGGAAGACCAAATTTTAAATTTGGAATTAGTTTTATTATCGATTTCATATTTTTTAAAACTTTAACGAATTTTTGAGTAACAGACTCAATGATTTAAAAGCGAGCAAAGGCAACACTCTCTAAAGGGGGAGAAAAAAAACCTTTTGATCTCCAGCGCTCGGAACTGTGCATCGGAAATTCTAAAGATAGGCTCATTTTAAAATTATTTTGTGACATTGCTATTGAACTCAATTTTATGGTTTAAGTGCCAAGAACATGATATTTAATAAATAAAGATAACACACAAAACATTAAAAAAACGCCTCTTTGGACGTAATTTAAAATCTGAAAACTTTCAGATTTTTTTCTTTATAATGATTTAATTTTTTCTATTTATATTTCATGTACGGTCATTTTTTTTTTTTTTTATTATGATGTTTCAAGTTTAATTTTTTTTTTTTTTTTTTTTTTTTTTTTTTTTTTTCCCAGAGCGATAGCATCAGTATTAAACATTCCAGAGTTTGCCGAAGATTTTGGGTGCGCGCCTCGACAAACTCAGTGTCAGATTCAGTAGGGATTCTCTACCAATATCTACACTTCAGAATCCATTTTACAGTAAAATATATTCCAGGAAACAAAATTCTGCGTTACATTTTTATTGATGTAATTCTTTGGCTAGTACAGTCCTGGTTATATAGATATAGTATATTACATCTGTAAATGGATATACTTATGTAAGCAATTTCTGAATTTCAAATAAAATGTTAAATGTATTGTTTGGTGATTTGCTTCATATTTTTATTGTAGTTATATATGCATTTAATGTAGTTATATATATATATGGGTGAATCAAAGAATTGTACACCTAGCACTTATTCCTCTTGCATCTGGAATGCGTTCATTCAACTATCGATAATGAGATTTACTACAAGATATGTATAGCCAATTATGTCTTAAACTCACGAATTTCACTCTCTACACGTATTCGAGAGGTTCGGAGTTCGAGTCCTGGCGAGGACATTACACATTTTTCATGTTTTCCTAACATCGAAACATTCTAATGACTCTAGAAGTAGTGCCCTAACTAAAACGTGGTCGACGATAATTCGTCCCTACTTGATTGAGTCCCTTAATCCCCCCGTCGCCCTTTAAAAGAAGGAGTACATAAGGTATTTTCTCCCCTTTAAAAGAGTTAGTATAAAAGGTATTTTCTCCCTTCTTTACGCATGCCTTCGTGATGTAACTGGAAGAACACTCGATGAACATTCAGAAGGTCCGAAATCCCAACCAGGGCATTGCTCATTTTTCACGTCTCTTGCTTCACAAAATACCTAGTGACTACAAAACAAATGCGACTATCTTATGTTTTAGTCCTCATTTTGCCAAACTCAACAATAAAATTAATAGTTCTATACCTAACTTAAGACCTTTTCTCGTTAAGTGTAGTTGTTTTTCTCTCCACAATGTAATTATATTATTAAAAGCAATAATCTGCGTAATTTTACTTTTATATTTTCTTCATACATGGACAAGCTGCAGAAACAAATTTCTAGAAATATACAAACTCTCTTAGAGAAAGATAAAGCCCTTAGAGAAATAGCTAATGTTGTTGATTTATAAGAAGTAACCATATTACACACCGATTTAAAAATCAATACCATAAGAAAATTGATTTCTGAAACTACTAATTATTTTAATATGATATTAAAAAACATCAAATTACTATAATTTTAGTTCCTAATTATGAACAACAAGCAAAGAAAAGAATTCGAATTCAGCTATTATTTTCCTCTGTAACAATTAGCATCATATTTAAAGGGACACTTTAAGCCTTTCACACAAAACAAAATTTCAATAGAGCCCAGCAACGGCCGAGCGTTAAAGTCGCTGAATACTGGTAGTTCGGTCCGAGGTTCGAATCACGCGAACGGGCTGGCTGCATGGGCGTTTTCCTGGTTTTCCTCATGTGTAACGTGTACACAAGCCAGTTTCCTTTAGAAAGTCCTCCACGAAGGCATACCTCCCTTAGACAGATAGCCCTTCAGGCTTTGCCATAATCACACACGCACAGAAAATTTTAATTTCTTCATTAGATCATTCCACTGTTAATTACTAGTTCGATTCTCATTAGCCGCAACGAAAGAGTGGAAAAATCATCCCAGAAATTTAAAATACTGTATTGTCCTATAATTTTTATAGCAAATGTCACTGTGGAAAGATACAAGCTTGAGTCAGCTTTCAGATATTAAGTCTTAATCTCAAAAACTAGATTGCAATTTTTTTCTCTGTATTAATAATATTTTTTTTTTCAACATGAATAACTTAGCTTCTTGTTAATATTATTTTAAATAATTATACTTTCAAGAAATATTTGAGAGGTGTTATAAAACCTATAAATGTATAATTCGTATAATTCACATAACTCACATTTAAAATGCACGCATTAAAATATTGTGAATTTCTTTAAATAAAGCACTGTACATTTCTATAAAAACTGGTATTCATTTGATAGAGTTAAGTTCACAGTACACTGCATAGAGCAGTATCTAAGTCTTGAAGTAGATACAGCTTAGTGACATCATAAATCGATGGGACTAAAACTATTACAATCTATTCTCACTTAGATAATACGTAAGTTTAATTTATTATTATCTATCGAAAATAATAGTTTGTTATTCAAAATGAATTTTAATTGTTTCTTTTAAATTAATATTTTTAAAATTCGAAGCTTGCTGTACTAAAAGTAAGAATAATAATGTTTTGATTCTAAATCAACATGATAGAATGATTTAGCTCTACTACTGATCAATTGCTAAATAACATCACAGTCTCACATGTTTGCATCTCATGCAACTCGAATATTTTCAAAAATTTTAAGTTTCAGTAATAAAATGAATATAAGAATAAAAAGCTATTTTTCTTCCCTAAATTCATATTATATAGTATTTTTATTCAACCGCATAGCTTGCAACTACATAACATCCCAGTAATTTACAGCATGATAATAATTCGTGAAACTTCAAATTAAAAGAAACTAAGTTTTGTTTCTTAATTGTAAAATGTTTGAAGGGGTGATAGAAGTGGTTAAAGAGGTGCTTTTTTTTATTTTAAAAATAGAAATTTTTCTTTTGACTTTTACACGGACGGGCAAAATTATTTTTATATAATTGCCATTAGATTGGCAAAATGTAACTATCACAGAAACTGATGATTTTATGACACTAGCACAGGAGAATTTCCATAGGGAAATTGTCAGAGTAAATGCAAGAAACTTGCGTATTTTTTAACAACATTTGTGTTTTTGTACAATACACTGCTCAATTTTACTGATTTTTAAAGCTGAGAATTAAGGCTTATGAAATTATTTGCTTCACATGCTTATATTTTACATGTTAAATTAAATATCCACACCCTTTGCATATTACCAAAGGCAATATTAACTTGATAATAAATTTTATTTCAGTATCATAAGGCAATTGGCATTCGAATAAAAAGTTTTATGTCATTTTGTTAAGCTGGTTATGTAATGCTTTTTTGTTTTAGAAATAATATAATTAAATGCGAATAATCGTTTTCGAAATCGCAGTTACATTATGGAAGAGAAAATAGAAATTAATATGTTATATAATTATTCTTACGAATTTTGTACATATATAAAAGATCTGAGTAAAATTATTTGTAATTGTATTTTTCTGTATCCTGTAACATGAAAATTTAAAAAGACGATGCTCTGACGGAAAAATAAGAATATAGGGGCAAGTCTATTTAACCCTGAGTAAATGGCTATCTCGCTAACTTGGCAAGATATCGCCAAGCTGGCGATGGTTTGGGCGACTAATCTTTGTCGACAAATTTGGCGAGAAATTGTCAAAAATCTCCAAACTTGGCGACATTTGGTCTCGGCCCCTGTATCACCGTAACATGTATCGTAATTGAATAACTGTAATTGATTTCATATGCAACTGTAACCGTATCCGGCCTCCATATTCTTTCCAGTTAATTTCGAGAAGTACTAGACATTTCTTAGTGACCGGGTGAAAACTATATAAGACAGAAGAAAGCATCTCACCTCAGTTGTTAAATCAGGTGAATTCGGAGTACTGAGATATCTCCGGGTTAGCTTCGCTCTTTAGATGCATAAGCATTGCTTTGCGTTTAACGTTCTTAGCAATTTGAAGTCTAACTACTCTGATTGTGCTCTGTGGTGCTGTGAAGAGTCGTACGACTATTTTTGAGGAAAGATCCAGAACTGCGAAATGTTTCGTTTTGGTTAAATAAATTTTATCAAAATGTCATCAATTCTGCGTTCATTTAATCTATTACGAACCTGTACGCATGCAACAATTTTCGGTATGTGAAGTGGGATTGAATGCCGGTGACAAGAGCGATGGAAGAGCAATTACGACAGCTGGGACTTCTTTTGCTGCATTTTAAGAAAAGATGTAAGGGGTCGTCAACTCCATCAAAGAAAAAATAAAAGCAGGACAAGAATCCATTAAGAAGAGTTAAAGGCAACTCAATTCTCCGTTGGAAGGAATAAGGAACGGATGAATTTTATGAGAAACACATGGATATTATTAATGTTAGGTAAGTTTCATATACTTTCCTGTAGCAATTCTAACTTTTCTGAACTAAGATCTAAAGACACAAATGTTAGGAATCTGTCATCTGCTTTCTTCACTGTTTTTTTCTTAAAAACTTCTTCCTTTATTTCCCAAGCCTCTTCGTTCTCTATTGACAGGGAACGTCAAAGAGATTCTTTCGACCTCTCACGCAGATGATTTCAACGACCCATTAGGACGGCAAATGGATTCGCCTTTTACGAGAAACGGATAAGAAAAAAAAAGAATTTTTTAATGAATTCTTAGAAAATGGATTCTAATATCTTCAGCTATAATGAATTAATGGAACCTGGGAACATTTTATATCGGGTCTCTGGTGAGGGTTAAGAAAAATAGCAAAGAAACCAGCTATGAAATTAGATGTATCTATAACTATTTCTAGCCTTTCTTTATTGAGAGGAACGTCAAAGAGTCGAACGTTAAAGAACATCAAAACGTTCTTCCGACCTCTCATACAGATGCTTTCGGTGACCCGTTAGAATGAGTCGGTGGCAACTCGATTCGCTGTTGAGGAGAAACAGATTGGGAAGAGAAAGAAATTTTTTAATAAATTCTAAGAAAATGGAATTCTAGAATCTTTGGCTATTATGAATCAGTGGAAGATGGGAATTTTGGATCTCCGGCGAAGAACAGTTAAAAAAAAACAGCTAAACAGATGTCAGATTTCTAACATCTGTGTCTTTACATCCTGATGTAATCCCCATATACATAACAGCTAGTTTCCCTTAGAAAGTTTTCTATTCTTTGTCAACGAATTGAAGTGCTTTTAAATTGGTCGAATACGTATCATCTGTCTGTGTGTTTGTATATCATCCACGAAAATCTGCATACAAAGTGAGTTGATTAAGTGTTCGTTAGTGAGTGAGTTGTTCTCGTTGTTCGCCCATTTTGTTTCAAGAGCCCAAGTGTTTTTAAATTGGTCGAATACGTGTCACCTCTCTGTGTGTTTGCGTATCATACACGAAAATCTGCGTACAAAGTGAGTTGCTCAAGTGTTCGTTAGTGAGTGAGTTGCTCTCGTTGTTCTTTTTTTCTCAATAAGATTTTTCTCCAAGGCCTGAGAAAGTTGGCTAGTTCAGTTATGCTTCTTGCTGGAGGAATGAAACATGTATAAGAGACCACAGTCGAAGCTACTTCTGCAACGAGAGAGTCTAC